AAACCTCCTGAAGTTTTATAAAGGAAAAGGTATAAAATATCAAAGAAAAATTCTACATAAGAAATAAGGAAGAAAAAAAAAAAAAAAAAAAAAAAAATGTCATATATTTTAAGAACTAATTTAGTGCTGAATGAATAAGTAGAAATTGCTTTAACTCGAATCTTTGAACTTGGCCCTAAAAAAGCAATTTAAGTTTGTAATCAATTAGGTCTAAATGATAATATTAAAGTTAATAAATTAACTAAGTATCAAATTGACCGAATTATCAAAATAATAAGTCAAAATTACTTTGTTGATTTGGAATTAGTGAAAGTAATTCAGAGGGATATTAAACAATTGATGAGTATTGGTTGTTATTGCGGTTTTTGCCATAATGCAGGATTGCCCTTATGTAGTCAACGAACTCATACTAATGCTAAGACTTATCACAAAGTCAGAAATGTTTCGATCAATCAACAAAGTTGATTGATGCCACAGGCTATAAGTTTTTTCATTATTCACAATAAATGATGAAGGCACAAAGCAATGTCCAATGAAATTGAAATTCAATAACACATTTTGTTATTGGCTTTTCCTCTGCAAAAACATCATCAATTCGTAAGGCTGACTCCTATTGGTTGCCATATAGGCACAACAACTCAAAGGGTACAATAAATATGTATATATATATATATATATTAGTCATTGCATATTCTTTCTCCATTCTTGCATTGTAACTGTTGAAAGGCGGGGTGGGCTCGGATAATAGAATCTCTCATCCAAAAAACCAAAAGTTGGGACATTTTTTTTTGTTTAATAGATTATTTTGTACAAACTTTTTTTACAAAATTGATTTTTAATTAGTAAACAGATAAGATGATTTTTTAAATTGATTTTTAATTTGTAAAAAAACCCAATCGATGATATCAAACAAAATCTAAAATTCAAGAAAAAAATCTAAGGCCTCAACAATGATCAAATAACTGGGTGGTCTTCCCGCCCTGGTATAGAACACTACCGATGGTTGAAAGGCCCTATCAATCATCTTCGAAGAGAACAGAGATCAGAGTATGTGGCGAATACAATTCGTCGCATCATAGATTTCCTCAACATATGATGACTGCTCTTCATGGAACTCGTCCCTAGAAGGGAGGGTAATGTCACGGCCATAATCATGTAAGCTAATAATTACATATAGAAATAGGTAGAAGTAAGTAAAAGTAGATAAAAATAAGTTAATTCTATAATATTTAATATAGAAGCTTCCTAAAAACTTCTTAGACGCTGCTTTGACTTCATAGGTATCTTTAATTGACTTTTTGGATTAGAAACGTGGTCAACAAGTTGGCCATGTGCCACACATGTTGTTAGCTTGAAGATCAAGCTAACTATGTGGCCCACACGTAGAAAAACTTGCCTTGTAAGTCAAGGCATGTGTCCTACAAAGTCAACACATATTAGAGGTCCTATAGAACGTCGCCACGTAGCCCCTAGATAGATAGTATATATAGAGACAAGAGTGAAGGCTTCTTCACTCTTGTTAACTCCTTTCTTGCTTCTAGTCTAGTTTCAAGGGTCTTTAGTTTTCTTGTCTTTTGGCAATAGCCATTTCAGTTTCTCTTTCAATATATATACTTGTTTATATATATTTTGTTACCTCTCTTTGAGTGAAGGCTTACTTGTCTGAATTGTTTTTTCATCGAGTTCTTGTCCTTGACACAGGGTCAAAATCAGACCTCTAGCTATTAAAATGATGACCTAGGGCAAAACAGAGTTTCATTTGAAGATGAATGATTAAGATTTGAGAGCTAGCTTGGAGCTTATTTTAGAGACATAAGATTGGTTTTTGTAGGATTTGTTTGGACTTGACGATTGTTATTCAAAGTTAGGATTTATATTCAAAACTTGGGATTTATGCAATACAATTAGGACTAGCATTCTTAGCTAGTTCATAAAATTGGTATTACATCTACAATTCAAAATTTGAGAGTGCTTGGTTAATTAGGTGTGATAAGTGTATGTAAAATTTTATAATAATCCAATAGTGTAATTGAGAGATATCTAGATTTTGGTACAAAAAGATATTAGAAGTTAGTAGTTTGGTATTGAATAGGATTTTTATGTGATCTCATAAAAATTTGTTGTTGAAAAAAATACTATTCAATAATTTGATTCAATTTGTTGTTGAAAAAATACTTCTTTTGCCAATTATAGTCATAATATATAATTTGATAATATTAAAATTTAAAAATATTTATTTATATAATAAAATATTAATAATAAAATCATAGCATTTCATAATAAGCATTCAATCATTATATATATATATATATATATATATATATATATTGAATTTTATCTGAAATTATTAATAATATATTCTTATTATTAAGTAATGTTTAGATTAATGGGTCTTATAAAAATATGTATATTAATTAATTCAATAATTTAAAATCTAGTAAATAAATTAATTTAACTATAATGTTGATATTATTGAAGAATATATATATATACATATATATATATATATATTAGTAATTTAATTTTTATAAGTTAAGTATAAAATCTAAGATAAAAATATCTTGAATTTATTAGAATGGAAAAAGTAAATCAAAATTTCTTAAGCATTTTAGCATATATTCTATTATTGAACACAAGTTGAAGTCATCCAAAAAAATTACTCTTTTCATCAACAACAATCATGTAAACTATATACCACTAATTAATAAAATTTACAAAATGATATTACCAAAAAATAAACCAAGGCCATCTTCACTATTATTAAAGTCAAATTTTACTTTAAAAGTCTAATATCTTTGTATTTGAGAAAAAATATTATATATATTTTTTTTCTATCTTAGAAATATAGATATATGAGTATAATTTTATATATATATATATATATATAATTTTTTAATATGATAAGAAATTATTTATATGTATATAGATAGATAAATATATATTCATATAATGTCAACTATGTCAACTTTTTTGAAGAATTTAAATAATATATAATATTATTTTCAAGTAATTTAATATATGTTATATGTTATATTGATGCATTAAAGAAAAATATAATACACAAGTAAGAAAATTAAAAGTGTATATTGGATAGTAAAATCAAAATCAGAATGATTATTTATTGTATTTTGAATTGTATTAATAATTATTGACTGAATTATTAATAATTATAATATTTTGTTTTGCAGTTGAAGTATGTATATATAATCTTATGTTTAAAATATTTTATTGTTGTATAGCATTAAATTTTTACACTATCATGTTTTTATTATATATTTTTTCGTTTTATTATACAAGTTCTATTATAAGTTTATGTTTTTTTTATGTCTTGTGTTTATTTCATTATTTAATTCTCTTTGATTTTATGACAATGTCAATCTAATAAACATAAAATTAAAAATAGAAAAATAAAATAAAAATTGAAATAAAACTTAAAGATTTTTTTATTTTAAAATTAAAAATTTAAGAGACATATACAACCATGTTTGTTATTTTGTTTTTGTTTTGTTATTTTGTCATTTTGTTTTATCTGGGCATGTGACTACTTGGATACTCATATGATGTTCAAAGCATTCCCATTACAATTGGTTAGATTGAGATAGTAGGTAACACCATTTAATCATTTTTAAAGAAACATTACATAACTGTTAAAGAGTTAATATATATATATATATATATATATATATATATATTGTGTTTGTGAAATATGAAGTTGCTCTTATGATGAGATCAATGACAATCAACAAAGAATCACAATTTTTTAAAAATTAAATACAAGTAGACTGATTTGAATATGATGTTTGGCCCAATAACATCCCAAGTTTCAAACAATATATATATATATATATATATATATATTATTTTATTTTATTTTATGTATGCATGTTTTTTCATTTAGTGATTCATCCAATCAATTCCTATCAAAAGGTGAAAAATGCTAAGTAGCCACATATTCAACAGCCTACAGAACACCCACACAACAAATGCTTGCAATCATACACAGATTGTGCATCCAAAGAAGTAACTTATTTGACATAGAAACAGGTGCTAGTTGTGGAGCTCATAGCCTGGTGAAAATGGTCTCCACACCATCTCATCAAACAGGGGTTTTCCTAATGGTTGTCTGGGTGGCAAGTCCAAATCCATAACTCATGTACAGCTTCAAATTCAACCTTTTTCAACACCATGTTGCAAGACAAAAGAAGGTGTACTGAAAAAGAGAGCAGAGCAGTGCCAAGCTGACCAAATGGCACTGAGGCACCTGAGATGCACAACTCTACAGGCATCACAACTCAAAAGCTACTCTTGAACCACTGCCTAAGTATACTACTCAAGACCGCCAAAGCACCATGGAAGAAACCCTAAGAGAGCTTCCGGCAGTGGTCCCAGTGAGAATGACGCAGTGCCCACTGGACAGGCGAACCGCCGATCCGTTCGATGGTAGCTGCTTTTATGGACGAAAATTTTCGACGAACGACCGTTCTGGCTCCGCCTGCACATGCGTCCTCATAACGGCACAAACTAACAGCTTCACGCGACCCCTCACGTCGGTTCCTGACTAGTCAGTTCTGGACGTGCGTCCGTATCGTTGACGACGTTCGTTCAGATGGGAGAGAGATCGTTCGTCTACGGCGAGGAAATAGGACACGGAGAGGGGCGTTCGTTGAAACCGGAGCCAGCGCATTGGCCTCAGCGGGCCACTCTGCATGTCTGGGGCATCGATTTGCACGCAGCCATCGCGTCTGTACAGTGAAGTTGTGAAGTCCTGGTGTCGCAGATCTGGTTATAGGCGATCGATGTTTGTCTACCCTGCCCTCCCCCGGTCAGTAAATAAGTTTCTTAAGTTCCGCCGGTTTATTGGTGACGGAATGCAATGGAGTCGCAGTAATCTCGGAGTAGGACCTTGAGAGCGATTTGAGCTGTTGAGCCTCGGGGTGGTCCCGTGCGGCTGCTGCTTGTCCTTACGATATCCTTTGTATCTGAGTGGTAAGTCGAAACAGAGCGTGCGCCAGTATCATCATAGAGTATAATACCATTTTGCTTGTAGTGTGTGTTTGTGTGTGTGTGTGTGTGTGTTCTCTGATGATCGAGTGCGCATGTGCGCTGGTTTAGTTAGCATTGTTCCTTGACGCCCTGATTTGTCGGCCATAGCTCTTCGCCAGGCGTCAAGGGGTTCTCCTGAGGCGAGCTTGTGTGCACTGCGTTCAGCATTGGGACTTCCTGTGTGTCGTTAAGATTATGGAGAGATTGGGACAGGCCGAGCAAGGAGTGGTGCTGATGCATTGTCGGCTGCGTGTTACCTGAGTGGTAAAATTCGAGGGGTTGTGTGAGGGAGTGTAGCATGTGCAGGAGCTTTCATTGTTTCGCGAGGCAATGCTGTTCGGGACCTGCATTAGGTAGGAAGATTTTGCTCCCGCAGCTATTTCGAACTCATTTCTCCAGCCTCGATCGATTACCTTGCTAATTTCCGCATTTCCAATCGATTTTGGGAGTTATTTATCTTTTTCTGGCCATCTCTCTGTCGTTTTTTGTGGTTAGTGTTGGCATAGATTAAAGTTGGTAGACTCTGGAGAATGAAATGTGTGTTTGCTTGTGCAAGCATTCCTAGGCGCATTTCATGATTAGAGTGCCGCCGGGACTGCTCACTACATGAGCTGTCCGTGCTCGTTTAGGATCACATCTTTTGAGATTGTTATTGAAAAGCGTAGAGCAGCAGTTGCGTTGGACCTAAATGTGAATTCTACGCTTTCAATAATCTATTTCGTCCTACTCTATAAATTTCTTTTTCCACCAAGCTCCGCTGTCGCTGGTCTACTTGGAATTTCGTCTTCTCTAGTACTTTTTTTCCTATTTTTTCTAAGCATGGAGCTCTCTCGCCATCTTTCGCGTGTTGAAATTTTTTTACTTCTTGGCATGTATTTATAGATCATCTGGAGCATCAGTATGCTAATGCACGGAACGATATGATCTCTACTATGCATGGCATGTTGCCCAGTGGAATAGCAGTTCCTTAGCATGTCTGGCACCACTCATCTCATCTTCAGAAAAAGTCTGAGCTTAAGATATGTCCTTATTTTTTAGTGCTGCCTATGGCCGATTTCGATATCATCTTTATTGGTTTTTACTTCCTCCGATTCTCAAGTGCATAGATTCTAATTCGTCTTAAATATTCTTTGGTATTTTTCAACGTTCAGCACTTCACCTGCGTGCTTGAGGAGCTGGTATCACTCTTTAAATCTCTTTAAGTTTCTGGAATTGTGGATCTCGATGTATTCTCCACAATGCTGTTCTTTCCCTTGTTGCGATCTGGCTCCTTATGTTGAAGAATTATAAGCTATTCTGCCTGTGTTCAATCAGAACTGAATCTGCATTTCTGGCATTCCCAGGGAAGACTATGTCCATGCTTAATTTTGGCTGTGCCATGAAATTCTTAACCATGGCTTTGTTTGATCTGTGCTTCCGCACCGAATTCTATTGTTTGTAAGGTGTAACTGTAAACAGTGTCGATGCGCACTTAACATTAAGTTCCATAAAACCAGACCATTGCAGAACTATTTGTAGAAGATTGCATTTTTATTTGATCCCTTCCAAGTTCAAATCGATTGTCATTTCCAGAAAAGAGTGTGTCCATGCGTCGTCTTCTTTGATTGACTTTTATTTCCGTCAAGAAATGCTCCATTCTTCAGTCGTTCAGTAGCAAGCTAAGACGTGGCACTTCTATTTCTAAACAGATATTTTTGGGTCTCGCTGGGCATCCTGGATTTAGAAGAACTCGGGTTATGACAGCGCCATCCTCCCCTGTCGCTGGCAAAGTCTGAATTCATTGCACTAAACTTTCCAAGATCAAGACCTTTCCAGGCGCATAGCTTTTCATCTTTTTAACTGGAGTCTGCCGTTACTTCGTTCATATCTCACAACCTCATTTCAGAATCCTGTCATCGCTGGATTTTCTGGACTTGTGTGTTTCTTAATGAAGGGCATCTTATCTCATCGTAAACTGCCATTGGTGGCGTCTCTACATTGTTGATACCAATAGGTTCATCTACAGTTGGGAAGCTACTCGACGCTACCAGATTTGGAGCAAGGGATCATGTGGCATCTGGTCTTCAGAACTCTGTGCCACCTCAATCTAGTTGGTGGACTCTACTGTGATGTTTCAATGTAACCTTGAGAGCAGGAGATTAAAAAACAGTGTCACATGTTTGGAGAGGAATTTGGTGGTATTGTGCTTCATTAGAAGCAGATCAAGAAACTGACTGCTTGCTTTTTGGAGCGGAATTTTTACCACTATATTTTAGACTCTTGTTAGCATGATGGCTAGGATGAGACCGCAGATACATGCTCTCTTGTGTGCGACAATGGTCTTCTTATTGGCGTGGGGAGTAGCGATGGGAATAGTGCCAGAAACGGGTCAGGTGGGCTCAAAGGGTCAACCAACGTTTGTTCGTCACTTTTGGTCCACCTCCGACAGACATCATTACAAGTTATCGGAGGATGGCGAGGGGGCTGAACTTGTTCTCGATCAAAGCTCAGGCAAGATATTGTGACTTTTTCTGTACGTTTTGTTTCGTACAGTTAGGGCTGTCTCAACGTGTCCAAACAGACCTTTCACATGTGAGGGATCTGATGAAATGCCTTGAATCCATCTATTAAGAGTCGCTGTTGCTGAAGAGTTTAGATTTTATGTTCGGGTCAATGATCTATGATATCCTCCTTTTGGGGATGTGTAAGAGTGACCACGAAGAATATTTCGTCCATGCATTGTCCTTCAAAGAACCGATTAAGAGTTGTTTAAGAAATGAAACGAAATGTGTTAAATGGTTAAACTATACTCTTCTCTAGCCTGGTGAAGGTCACTGGTGGTGATTCTGAAAAGATAGTGTCGTTATTGTGTCTCGTATCTCTCTTCCACTTAGTAATTGTGATAATTTGCGTCTCTAATCCGAGAAGAGTCTGACCCTCCCTGTTGTTTTCATCAGCTGCTGGTTTTGCCTCTAAGACGAGATACTTGTTTGGGCGTGTCAGTATTCAAATGAAGGTTCATCCAGGCGACTCGGCAGGCACTGTCAGTACATTTTATGTAAGGTCTCTTTCCCTACAGAGTGTGTATGTATGAGTTTATACCTGTAGTTCACTAGAACTATCATTTGCTATCTGCATTTTCAACAGGTCTGATCAGATCGGCTCATACTATCTTATTTCGTTAATTATCCTCTTACAAACCTTGGTGATGCTGCTGCAGCGAAGTACTTCAATTGTGTTGGTCAAGTGTACTCAAACTAACTTACACATTTGATTGCTCCGACAGACTTCCTCTTTGAGCGGAAAGCATGATGAACTTGACTTTGAGTTTCTTGGCAACGAACCTGGCAAACCATATGTACTGCAGACCAACGTGTACGCTTCAGGTATTGGTGACCGTGAGCAACGTATCAGACTCTGGTTTGATCCTACCGAGGATTTCCACACGTATGAGATCCACTGGAACAAAGAGATAGTCATGTAAGTGGACAACTGTTGCTTTTCAAATTTGTACTTTTACCCTTTTGTCCTTAGTTTTCCCCTTCCTCTCATTAGTACCTGATTGATTGTGAACCAAGAACAGTAACTCGCTTTTGTGGAGATAATCTGGGAGTTACTATGACTGTATGCCTACCGTTTCTAACATGTGCATCAATACAGTTTCATGGTGGATGACACTCCGATCAGAATCTACAAAAATAATGAAGATTTGGGTGTTCCATATCCTTCACGTCAGGCTATGAGCATTTTCGCAAGCTTGTGGAATGGGGAAGAATGGGCTACTCAGAATGGAGCCATCAAGTTAAATTGGAGCAATGCACCATTTGTATGGAAATGCTCTTCATTTTTTTGTACCTTGAAACATACTGGACAGATTTCTGCGTTTGTCTTTCTGTCTTGTATCATACAGTTGTATAAAGCTCTGTGAATTACTTTTGTAGCAATACTTGCATTGCTGTAAATTCATGATTCATCATTGCTGTAAATTTGCATTATCAGCTCTAACTATTGGTGCAACTCACAGGTAGCTGCTTACCGAGGCTATGAAGTTGAAGGATGTGAAGTACCATGGTACAAAGGGGATATTAAGTACTGCCAATCATCAAAAGTCGACTCTATGCTAAAGAGGGCCACTATTCATAATTTGACAACCAGGCAGCAAGCGCGGTTGCAGTGGGTGACCGAAAACCTCTTGGTGTACGACTACTGCAAAGACATTTACCGATACCCAACACCGCACCCTGAGTGTAGTCGCAATTCAGGACTTCAAATAATTGGTCCTCAGCCTCTGAAGCACCTAGATGGTTTGCAGGTTCTTGGTGGCTCTGGGACTTCTGAGTAGTTGAGATGTCTGATTGTAATGCTAGTGTACTTTATGAGAAAAACATGGTCTAAATGTAGGTCTGTTTCACATAATTGGCAATTGCCTAAAGATAAGGGTAGTGTACAAGAATACTGTAGGTTGGCTGGGACCCTTGGACACGGGTTAAGCATAATCGGTGATTCTGAGGCTGATAAAGGTGCTTGAGGACGCTGGAGTATGTGCGTTGCAGATCAATGTGGGCTCTCCTACAGTATCTTGATCAGAATATTTCCAGATTACAGGTATGAGCAAAACTCGGGTTGTCGTTTATTCGTCCATGCTAATTGGATAGAATACCTTGCTTTTGGTAATTTATTAGTTGTGTATACTTTATTAATTAGACCGATTGTATCTTGCATAATTTATGACATGGAACTTCTGTTGGACGGTATACCACGATAGGAACTCTATTACCAATACAGTAAAATGAACGTTGGCTGCACGTCGTCGTTGTCATATCGTACGTTGCTACCAATTTTATTTTAATAATTTATTTTATATTTTATATTTTCCACCAGCGGTATGTCATCAGGTTGATAAACAGAAAAAAAAAGACACCTTTCACTCTTCAATTTTAACATCATTTAATGAATCTGTGTCTAATCACGCAGGCGTGTCAAACCTTTGACTGCCTGGATTTGGCTTTTTTAACCTTTGACAGCCATGATTGCTACCTTGCAGGACTTCAACACAGACTATCAGCAGCAACATACCTTCCGTAGGCAAGGGCTCATTAATAATGGAGGATTGTTCACTGCGTCTATTTTGCACTACATATCTAGCATCTGCAAAATAATTTCGCTTCTAGATTAGTCAGAAAAATTACATTGTTAACACTTAGTCTTTGTAAAAACATATTTGTGACTACATTTTTTGGGGGTTACTAGTGCCCCTCTTAACATGGAAGATGACTTCGTTTTTGTTTCTGCCTGTGTGTCCTTGAAATCAGCCACAATGATTTACTGTCACATCCTAGTTCTTGATTTCTCAACTGTTGTGAACTCGTGAATGCTAGGCCAGTCTATGTTCAAGTTGCATGTCGAATTATCACCTGTCATCCTCTTTATCATCTGAAGTGACTTTTACATGTGCAGTAGCGAATCGTTCTCTATGTCAGTGATATGCGAGCCCGTTGCTCAGATTCTCGACTTCTTGGTTCGGAATAAGTCTAAAATCTGTTCAAATACGTTTTCACAGCTTCTATTTTTTAACAAAGTGAAATTACCGAAGTAAGCAAATTGTGATCTGAATGCATGAGGAGTGCCTCCCATGTGCAATACATGTCTTTCGCATGATTAAGGGATGACTTTTCTTACCTGACCTTGTATGTGAAAACGTCTTTGAAGTGAGACGGTGTTCAAAGATTGTCTAAAACTAGTTCTTTAGTTGTGGTAATACCTACATTATCGAGTACATGCTTCCTTGATAACTTTTAAATTTTCTACTATCAGCCTTGTGATTTTATTCTATTTTTTATATCTTCCTTACTTTAAGCTTCACCTGGTTTGCGTATTTTTTAATGCTTATATTAAAAAGTACCAACTAATAAATTCAGCCTTTTATTTTATTTTGTATTATTTTATAAATACCAACCTAGTTGGTCATAAGGTTGGTTGTTTACAATGATTATTGGAAAAAAATATATATATATATCACAACAAATTTACTGCAATAAAACTATATCATGTAGTTCATACTTATTATTAAAATAGACATGAAGAACTTAAATTATGTTTTGTTTTAAGTAGCATTTTAAAATATTTGATAGATAGTTTGTTAGATTTTTAACTTAAGTTTGTGAATTGCATGTGTTTTTGAATATTTCATAATAAATTATTAGTTATATATATATATATATATATATATATAAATTAATAACTTTAATATTTTTTTACTTAAGTTGATTTTCAAGGTAGATGAATGACATACTATAAAATACAATAATATAATAACTACTTTGTTTAAGAGCTTATCTTGATTTAATATTTTTAATTGTTGTCTTCAAAAAATCTTACTTAATAGTAGAGATACTTTAATAAGCGGCCAAAAGATTAAAAAGTGTGAGAAAAATAAGACATTAGATTAGAAACAATATTAAATACAAGACCAAAAATTATTGTTTCAAAAATTATATTACAAGGGTAAATTATTTTTTGTCTTATCTTTCTCTTTGTAGTGCCATTTAAGAATCAAGTGCTAAATTAATTACTTAAGAAGACAAATGTGTAAAATTATAATTTGTCCAAATGAAAAATTTAAGCAAGTTTGAAACTTCTTAATATGCCAAATGAAGATAGTAGCCTAACAGCCAAAGCTTTGGCTAAAAGAAGGTAATTTAAAGAGAATCTTAGTAAAAAAGTTGTCAAAGTAAAAGTTCAAAATTTTAAAACAGTATTAGATAAATAAATTATTAATAATAAGTATTGCCATTGAGATTTATATCCAAGATATGCATAATAATATAAATAAGTATCTATTTTTAGCTCAAATAAAAATAAAAAATATTTTATAAAATATTTATTTTTTTGCTTCTATTCTAAATTCTATTGATAATAATCTAATAGGTACTATTTATTTAAAGTTTGGATTAAATATTTTTTTTTGAAAAATCCTTATTTTATCTACAACATCTTGATCCTAAGAAAGCTTTTGGAAGAGATTTTAAGGAATATAGAATATTTTAAAAGTTATAAGAATCTTCTATAAAACTTCTAAAAGGTTAAATAATGTTCTTTATGATTATGGAAATTCTTTAGAAGACTATAGAAGATTTTTGAAGATCTATTAAAATTGCTATAAATATTAGAAAATCCTTGAAGGTTCATTAAATTTTAAAAGATATTATATCAAGTGCTTATAATAGTTAGTAAATCGAAGTTAATAAGAACAGATTGAAATATGTCAAGTAGATAATATCTTCCTTACAAAACTTCAAGGAAGTTTTCTAGATATGGATGACATATTTAAAATCTTATAGATATGCTTTGTAGCTATTGATGATTATCCTCTAAGCATTTTACTTTTAAGAAATTATGTTAGAAGCAATCTACAACTTAAGGCTTTAGCTACTAAGAAGATTTCACAAGACCTTGTTTATAGTTAGTAACTATGAAAGTAAGATCAAATCCATTGTTAATCTTGCTAATATTTTTATTGTATTCTAGTCTTCCTTCATGATTCTTTGGCTTTTTTTAAAACAAGAAGTAGCTATTCTAATATAATTTTTCATCTTACAATTTTTTCTTTTTTGTTTATTTTTTCTCTTTTAGCGATACAAAAATGTATTGTCTTCTCAAATTTATATTTAATTCTTTGTCCTTAACAATTTAAAAATACAACAACTTTGAAATGGTTATTTTTTTAAGAAGTCTATAAATTACACACTTTTTTAAAAAATATTTGTGTATTTTAAAGATTACAGATAATTTACATTATAAATTAGTATTCTATTCTTTAATGTTTATTTATTTTATTTAAAGATACTAGATTGTCTCTTTTTGTAGAAACATTTATTTGGTATTCAAAGTTAAGAATTATTTTCTTTTATTTTTATTTTGTTATTTTTAGTATTATTAATTTTAAATTCTAGATTAATTTAAATAGAAGAAAAAATAAAGTATAAATAATACCTATAAAAGAAGTAAAAATAAATTTGCATCCATTAGAGATCTTTACAATGTTTTTCATACTCTTTAAATTCAAATGTCACATATAAGAAATTTCAACCATAGAAGTACTTTTGCTATGTCTAGAGAAGAAGTGTATATTAAATTAATATTTAAGTCAAGATTTGTACAATTAAAGAAAAATAAGTGACTTTAAATTTTTTTGCTACTACAACTATTTGACAAAATAAGATAAAAAATTTGAGGATTTTTGCACCACATCAAGCTCTTTTAACAATTACGTCTTTTTTGATACCTTAATGTTATGACTTAAATATGATTTATATATACTCTTCTATCTAAAACTATGTTTTATTTTTAATGTAAGTAAAAAAATATATTCTTTAACTTTTTAAGTTTCATTTTTGATAATTTAAAAAAAAATCCATATGCTATGAATTTATTTTTAGATACAATAACTATATTTAAAAAGGTAATAAAAAAGAGTATCAATAATAAGATTAAATCTTCATGAGAAGAAACACATTTAATTACTATCTATTGATGCATGATTCCAATAAATTGCTTATAATATGGATTAAAAAAATAAGATTTTTATCAATTAATTTTGATATAGCTAACATCAAATATCTAATGTCAATTATATCAAAAATAGATTCATTAGAATAATTTATCACTTAAGCAATTGCATATAACAATCAATCCTTTAAAAAAGCACTAAGAACATAGATTTGATTCAAGAGAGAAAATAACTTCTAAGACTTTAGAAATCTATTAATTAAGATTATAACCTATTCAATATGATTTTATCTAATTCAAGATATTAACATTATAAATAATGATAAATTCCCTTATAAGTTATTTATAATTATGTTTATATTATAGAAAAAAGGTCTTTAAGTTCAACATTCTAGCATCAAACTAAATGGATTTAAGGCACAAAGCTTAAACTCAAATATGAAAAAATCAGAAAATAAAGTCATCAAGTTGCAATAAGAATCTTACAATTGGACAATTCTAAATATTGAGTATCATATACAAGTTTCGTTCTACTATTAGATCTTACACCTTATTTTTAACTTCTTATGATTATGAAAACTTTAAGTTGTGTATTTTCAGTTAAAGTATATTCAGAAATTAATGCTTAAGCTTTTTTAAGCACTTATTATAATAAAAATTAATACTTTCAAAGAAGATCCAACTTGCTCCAATGGATGTTATTGATGAACAAATACTACAATTTAAAGATGTTATTAAAAAAATCAAGTTGATAAAAGTGACATTTAGAAATCAAATATTAAAAATTATTTTTAGTATTATTTAATTTTCTTCAAATTCAATAATACTTGGATTTTTTTTAACTAGACTTATTTGATTTTGATGAATATTAGAAATAAGAAAATATAAGTTCAAGATATAAATATTATTAAGATGTAAAATTGTTAATTATTATACAAATTAATTGCTAAAAATTCTACATTACAATTGTAAAATTGATTTGTAAGAAGGTGTTTAACCAATAGTTAAATCAATTTGTAATTTTTTATAAAATAAAATTATTCTTGTGAAGAAACATATTTTAATTAAAATCTTACAAAGAATTTTATCTGAATTGCAAATGTCCTACAAGTGTGCAAATCTTTTTCATGAACTTAAAAGATGGATCTTTACAAATATATACAAATCATTATAGATTCGACAAATTGACCATCAAGAATTGTTACATTTTGCTTTTAAAATTAAACTTTCTTAATATTTTAGAAAAACCTAAAATCTATATTAAAATAGATCTATTATGAATATATAATATAATTTATACTAAAAAATAAAATAAAATAAATTAAATTAGGTGTAGCTATTTTAATATAATATCATACATTTTGGACTTCAAAATATTCTAGCCACTTTCTAATATTTGAATAAAAATGTACTTTTTGAATTTCTAGATAATTTTGTTGTACATTATTTGGATAATTTATTTATTTTTTATTTAATTAAAGAATATAAAAGTATATAAATAATATTTTTGTCTCGTTTAAAAAATAGTTTAAAATACAAGATTATATACTAAGATGAAAAAATATACAGTTTATACAACATAAGTGAAATCTTTGGCATAAATTATTTTAAATGATAACTTACAAATAGATTCTAAGAAAGTACAAAAAATTATAAATTAAATAATTACAAAAATTAAATTTGATATTTAATATTTTTTAAAATTATAAAATATTATAAAATATTTATTGATATTTTTATTAATTTATTTCTTTACATACATATTTAACCTCTAAATACAA